CTCTTTTTTTTTCTTTTTCATTTTTCTTCTTCACCCCTTACCCTGCAGCCATGGGTGGGGTGCACGTGGAGCCCGCGGGATGACTGCCCTGGGGATGCAGAGGCTGGGGATGCAGTTTGCCCGAGCACCCTGCATGGGCCGCAAAGGCAGCCAGGGCTCGGTGGCTGTGGGGACGAGCCCAGCGAGCGTGGGCGAGGAGCTGTGAAGGGCTGCGGCCAGCTCCCGGCAAGTCCTCCCTGATGCAGCCCTCCTCGTTCCGTGCTCCAGGCGCCTCGTTTTGTTTAGTCTTGCAAACCGTCGTTGCAGCCTATAATTAGCCAAAGCAGCCCTGCTGTAATCCCAGCCTGACGAGGCGTCCAAAGGGCAGCAGGCAGCGAGCGCCAGGCCTGGGAGCGGCTCTGCAAGCCCACGCCTGGGGTGCTGCTGAGGGGTCCCTCGGCCTCGAGGGGCTGCAGCCACCCTGGTGCCAGGGAGCAGCGTATGGACTGGGCCAGCTCGTTCGTGGGCCTTTGCAAAGGGCAGCAGGAGGAGGGAGGATCGCAGTGCCAGGGGATGGGAGCACATCCACATATCCCCGGTCAGAGGCTGCTGCAGGCGGCTGATGTTGCTGGCAGCAAAGACGGAGCAAGAGGCCAGCGCTGTGGGGCTGAGACATGACATTCAGCTAGGGGAAGAGTTCACCCCCCTGCCCTGACATCTTCAGCGAGCACATTTTTTTTTTTTAGCAGGTTCTGGCTTAGCACAGACCCCCGCGACGGCAGGGTCTCGCCTCACCCCCCTCTCTCTGTTCCCCAGTGCACGAAAACCTGCGGCATCGGTGTGAGGATGCGGGACGTGAAGTGCTACCAAGGGAAGGACATCGTCCGGGGCTGCGACCCGCTGGTGAAGCCAGTGGGCAAACAGACCTGTGACCTGCAGCCCTGCCCCACGGAGCCCCCAGGTGAGCCCCGCTGCCGGCAGCACCCCCCAGCATTGATTTTTCCACCGACTTCCCCCCCCCAAGGCAGCACCACCTAGCATCTTTGCTTCCACCAACCCCTAATTTGATAGTCAGCCCAGGGAGGATGTAAAGGGAACAGCTCTCTGTGCCCAAGTAATGGGGCACCGTGCATTGGCTATTTCTGGAGGTAACCCCATTAAATTAAGGGCAGAGTTTAAAAGAAGCATGCTCTGACCTTAAGATAAAAGCGAGCTTTGGAGAGCTGATTCGGGTGCTGCTTCTGTGTGATTCCAGCTGATGACTAGGAAGTTTTGTCTGTGCCATTATTTTAATGATTTTTGGTCTCCAAATGTCCTGCGGGATTTGTAACTATCTCGTTATCTGACTCGTCTGCTGGCTCAAAGCCCCTGTGATCTTTAGTGAACACACGGTTCTAATTCTTTAATAGGATTTGGGAATAAGGACGGTGTGGGAGAAAAGCATGAAAATGGGAGACAGATTTGGGGCTGGCTCCTGGCTCGGCTCCGGACCTGCTGGGGGCCCTCGGGTGGGGTCTCCTTCAGGGTCCAGGATGCAGCACAGTGCTTGCGAGGTGCCTCGTGGCCCCCTCATAGCAAGCTGCCTGCCCTAGGAGCAGCCTGGTTTCATGCATCCTATGGATTTTAAGCAAAAAAAAACAAATATATATATATAACTCTAAATCCTATGGGTTTGAAGCAAAGTATTGCTTTGAAGGGAGCTGGGAGGGCATCATAGCGGTGTCTGCCCTCCTCCCTCTCTCCAGCAGCTCACTTGCCCCAAACTCCTGCTGTAACGCTGCTGGATTCCCGTTCCCTTTCTCACATAGCCTTTTTGGGGCAGAAATTGTGAGTGTGTGGTGGTCACCCTGTGCCCTACCATGGGATGCCCTTGGCTTGGGGGCAGCTCAGTGCCAGGCTCCCTTGGCGGCTCCAGCAATCCCTGGGCAGCTGTGTTTTGCAGGGAAGAGCTTGAGTTTTGTGGCTGGGACCAAAGAAAGACTCCCTGGGCCAGGCCAGGTGTGATGAAATGGGTCAACCTTCTCATGCCTTTGCTTAGGTTGACAATGATATTTATGGAGAAGCTCCATGGTGTTTTCCAGGGGATGCTCTGCCAGATAGCGGGGAGGTGGCAGTTGCAGCCGGGGTGATTTGTTGCCCAGCCCGTGGTGTTTAGGGCAGGCCGTGTATGGGAGGGAAAATGAGCTCATGAACTTGCAATGGTTTATTTTCTTTTTCTTTTCCGTATCGGTGCCTTTTGCCTCCTCTCCCCCAGACGACAGCTGCCAGGACCAGGCAGGAACCAACTGCGCTTTGGCCATCAAAGTCAACCTGTGCAGCCACTGGTACTACAGCAAAGCCTGCTGCCGCTCCTGCCGCGCGCCCCACTCCTAGTGCCCGGCAGCACCCAGCACCCGTGGCACGCGCCGGGCCGGCACCCCTGGGCTGGGCCTCCCTTAGCAAGGGCTCTGTATACCATTTAGTAAGCGCTACACGTCCCACAGACTGGTGTTAAGGATGCTTTTGGGTTGGTTTTTGTGTTTTGTTTTGTTTTGTTTTTCCACCAATGCAGAACTACTATCCTTGTCCCTCTCCTGTGTAGAGGAACGGTGCCGGCACGGCTCGGTTACAAAGCCGTTACCGCTGTACATTGGTAGCCCTCATTATCAGAGCTGTACATAAAGTCGTGTATATTTGATTCCCCCGAACAGCAGACACATGCACGTGTTTCACAAGGTCTTGTCCTTTTGGTTTCTTTCCTCTACGCAAGTTTGGGGTTGACGATGGGAAGGCGTGAACTCTGTGAAGTGCAAGTTTCCCTTCGCAAAGGGCGTTAGTGCCTCTCTCCTAATTTATCCCCGAGACCTGCGATCTCTCATTAGCTGCATTTAACGTGGTGGGAAGCTGATTTTCGTTTGCTAAATGAACTCAAGCCCCAGCCCTTTTTTTGTAATATGTAGGTGTATACTTTTTCAGAGAATTTTATCTTATAATCAAATGTTAGTTCCATAGTCCTTACAATCCTCCCCGTAATGCTGACATATTGTATATAATATGGAAACATAACTGCACTTTATATCACAAAAAAGACGTGCTCTTTTTTAATATATTTGTTTACAGACAGTGAACTTTATCCATATAATCATTAATTTGTACTCATATGTATATTTTAATAAAGTTGTCATATTTATGGTGGTATCTTGTTTTATTCTCCAGTTTGTAGCGGGTGTTTGCCCCGTGTGCTGGGGACACTGGAGTCGGGGCTATGAAGTTGTTGGTGCCTGGGGGCAGCAGAGCAGCTCTAAGTCAGGGAATCGCGGCCGCTCGGACAGTGGTGCAAGGAAAAGTCCCAGCAGCGGGGGAGCTGGGGATTTTGGGATGGTTACTCTGGGTTAGGGGCCCTTTGGGGTTATGTGTGTGGCTTTAGGAACTGCAACCCTGAAGCTCCTCAGGAATTTGCAAGGAAAGAGGTTTGATATGGTGCCAGCAAGAAAAGGGCCTTTCCATGCTCCCAAGGGTGGTTATTGCTCCGTGTTTCTGCAGGCATGACTCCCTGAGGCTGGGCCAAAGACTCTTTAACATTCCCTGTCCTAGTTGTGTGCACCCCAATTACTGCTGCATTGCTCCCCTCAGCAGCAGGGCAACTCCTGCACCTAGGTCAAAGCTTTGCAAACAGTGCCCTGTGTTTGAAGATGCAGGGACAAAAAGGTCAGCCTCAAAACCCATGTCAAAGTAGTTTATTTCTTCTTTTTTTTTCTCCCCGCC